GGAAATTAGTCAAGCACTCTGAAAGTGTTTTCACTCTTAATGTGGTGTACAGGGAGATATTAGAATAAGTTTAATCACTTTATCAGTCATTGTTTGCAGCACTGTTGTTTTTATATCATGTTTTTGTTGTTTTCATATCATGTTTTTGTCGTTTTTATATCATGCCTCTGTTGTTGTTATATCCTTTTGTTACTGTTTATTTATTAATAAATTTATATATTATTTTCATATACATTTTACTAATTTCCTTTCATCTCTCACACTTCTATTATAGAGAAAGGGCAAATAGCAATATTAAAATATTTCTGCTAATTAATTCCCTTTTAATGTGCACGAATTTCGTGCACCGGGCTACTAGTGATTTAATAAAACCAGTGTAACCCCAGAGCCTTTTCACTAATCTGTAGTCATAGAGCTGGAAAATGACAGAAACAGGATTTATATGTAGGCAATGAGGCTTCACAAACCACACTCATAATCAATATGCTATATTTTTGTTTCCTTTACATCTTCAACATTTGCTATAAACAGTTCTAGCCTATAGTTGATTATTTTAGACACTAAAACTAAATGATTCTTCTATTTTAACAGCCCGTTTAACAAACATCACTATCAATTAAATTTAATGATCACCAACAATGTGTTACAATCCTGGCAAATCAAAGTCTATTATTGAAATGAGTTCACAACCCTGTGGATTAGTATTTTCATTCTATTGACAGAAATAGTTGAAGATGTAATGTTGTACTTTAACTGAATTTTCTACTTAAAATTATGAGTATGTAATATAGCTAAAAAAAAAAAATCCACATGATCACAATCAGTATCATAATCTAATTCTGTGGTTTAAGCCACTTTCCTCAAAACTGGTAGGCTGAATTTACTTCATAAGTTTTACTAAAATAATTGACAGCTGAGTTTTTTCACACTATCAAAATATTTATTAACTTATTTACTGTGTATATAAAACTATTTGCATAACTTGTGGATTCCAGTACAAATAAAAATATGGACCCCCTTGTTGAAAAATGGTTAAATATTCATGTCAGCGACAGCAGAATATTAGACCAAGTGTGTGTGTCAGTGCAGGAAGTGTCTGCTATGGCAGGCAGGGTCTTATGCAACTTACAGGTCCTATACCGATGATGTCAGTCTGCTATTTTGCCAGACTGTATAACCCTGGATTTACCAGCTTATAGCTTGATGCTGTTGTGAATTTGCTCAATATTTCACTTCTTAAATGAAATACCATTTTGACAATTAGAAGAAACAGTTCAGATGACTGGTACTAAATTCATGACATGGTGTTCCTTGTAGAATTATAAAGGAAACATTAGGCAAAGGATCCAAGATAAACTAACCAAGCGAGTCAGTTTCTAAGTATAGGCTTAGTTACCCTATCAGTCATAGTTCTTAGAAGCAATAAACTCTTCCTAGGTTCCTAGCATAAACTTTCAATTTATGCTAATTGGAATTATCATGTTTCATTAGGAAAGGTTCATTAAACTAAAGTTCTCTGTAAATAATGTGGTGGGGTTTTTTTTTGCAAACTTTTACATTATTTACATAATTTCTAATTCTATAAAAATGTCACTACATAGATTTTACTACATAGAATTCTCAGGACACTACTTACAAATCACTGTCCAGTCATCA